GGTGAGTAGAAAATGAAGGCTAATCATGTTTTGGGTGTACTATTCCTTTAAGAGGTATACTTTTGTATACGTTCGTTATCGCCTTTGTTTTAAAGCTGTTTGGTTGGATTTACCCTACAGTATTACAGCAGGGCTTTTGTCTTTAGACATAAGCTTTATAGACACAAATTACACCAAACAGCTTCGACAAAAAATATTTCCTGGATGAGAAATAATTTAGCCAAAAAGGAAGATTCATCACACTAGGAGAAAAAAAATAGGCCTCGCAAACATAATGATAAATGTTGTAGAGACAGTGGGATTTAAGAAACCTTTTTTTGTGCTTCTGCGCTCGGGTTTCATTTTCTTTTTCTACCGCAGACTTTGGTTACTAATCCTGTAGCACACATCTACTTTGCACATTTAAATCCATTTTGCCCATATATTAGATATATGATTTACATAAACATGTTGCAACCGTACAGATCTGGCCTTCCTTGTTACATCTACAGTACTTCACTACCTCCATTGTTCTTTCATATAGAACCCGTCCTTGTAAAGTCACATTTAAAGGTTTCAAATCCCTTTTTCATATGTTCTGCGTAATAAAGACGCAGTTTTAACAGAAAGGTATGTTCAGGTATGTTCAAACACTTCAGGCAGAGTAGTAAATACAACCTTTCCATGCACTCTAAATATCTGATCAAATAAGACTGATTTCAAATAGAGAACGATAACTTACGGCATTACTTTGATCAAACAACATTGCCATTAAGAGTACTTAATAAATGCAAAAACTAGAAATAAGTGAAAATGACTGAACAAGACACAACTTAACAGTACAACAGCTGTAACTAGGTTTACAACTGGAGACTGTCTAAAGAGAACAGCTGTAGACATAGAACCCAACCAAACAGCTTTAAACATATTTCCAGAACAAGAAACCATTTAGCAAGTTAACAAATGGATCAAATCAAGAGAATAAATTACCCCCACCCCTCTTCTATACAACAGTTTTATCACTAATATTGAGTTGCACAACCAGTGGTGCAATCATTGCTTATCAGTTCAGGTCTCCTGTTAGTCATGTTTTTTTTATTATTTTTTATTGTTATAGAGATAAATAATCATAAAATGATGCAACTCTCAGGTATTTCTAATCTATTTTGGTATACTTTAAATTACACTTTAATTCATTGCATTTTGCTTCTAATTACTGATATTTATAAGATATGGTAGTTTTCCTTCTGACCAAACTTAACTAGCTTTGAGAACATTAGAGAGACAAAAGCATCAGATCCAATATTCTAGTGCCTAAATAAGATGTTTAAAAAACATTTAAACTTTCTTTCTTTTAAAAAATATTCAATCTATAAAACAAATGACCATTTCGATGATTTCCACAGTGTGCACAGGCTATAAATATATAAGAGCCTGTGTAATATAAATCATTTTACATATTTTCCCACCTTTGCAGAAAAGGATGATAATCACAGTGATCCCACATGTCAACCGCTGAAGAGACATCTTGAACAATAACATTTTTCTTTAACCATTAAAATTTAATACTTGATCTTTTGTGTTCAGCTCCACCCAGAATGACATGACATCCAATAGAAGATTCCTGTCACCCAGTTTCTCTTACTGATACTACTGGATTGAATAGGAAAAAAAAAAAAGAGTATTGCAAAACATGCCTGTCTGGATCACTTGGTTGGCCATGAGTTTGCGCATTAACCTCTATTAGCTGCATTTGAAACAGTTACTCTTTGCAAACAAAGAGGGCTACACACAGCCTGGCAACAGAAATGTGTTTGCCAGCAGAGGTTTCTTAAGCTATGGAAGCCCACCATATAGGAATGGTTAACTTTTAACATAAACCTTTACAAAAGGCAATCAG